ACGTTAGCTGGGAACTTTTCATTCTTTTTAATTGGACATTCTGTTGATGTATGAACGGTGCATTTAAAGTGATTTCCTAAGCCATAACGAATCGATTATAATTATCTACAAGTAAAGAATATAAAACGGAAGGAGAGAGCACGGAATATAAAAGGCAATAATTACTACGATAGGTTACTCAGGTCTACCATAATACATATGTCAGGTTATTTTATGACATACTATTTGTATTAGATAATATTTAAACCATTTCATTTTGTCGGGGATGGTGTAAGTGTAAAGTAACAGCAGGTACGTAGGTTTACCATGTGTATTCAGTAATAAAGATGACTAAACATTTGAAGTTCCTATAATCTCACTTGTGGAATAAGATACACATACAGGTGTAAAAACATTTGATGGATTTTCAAAAGCGAAGTAAGCATCGATGAAGCGAACAAAGGATGGAAATGATTTTATCTCATGAACAGATTGTGGTAGATTACTCCGGAATCTGTAAAATTTGCTGGTAAATTAATTCATATGGAGAGATGATTTAGAACGTGTTTGTTTCACTAATGACAAGGAGTTAAGGATGTTGTAATAAGAAATTTCTGCATATTCAATTACTTGTCTGGTTTTAGAAGATAGTCTTTTAAGTATTTTGAAGAAGAAGAAGACTAGGTTTAGATTGAGTCTCCTCTTCCATAAAGGGTCGAGTCCAAATTTGTTACATCTGGATTTATAATTCAAAGTACAATCAGTCCCAAGAATCCGAAGTGTAAATCATCTCTGAACGGATTCCAACCTCAATTTTTCCTTTATGCGAACACTACCAAGAATAAACGTGCAGTATTCTAAGAGTGGTCGAAGACATACTTTGTATATCTAAATACGTGACTCGTTGTTATAGAGATTATGAATTATGCAACCCACGAGATTTGGGACTGTAAGGTCTGTTTCGAGACCTGTTCTGTGATTACATTCTAATTATTAATCAAAATGGGTGTACAGTCAATATATAAATGAGTGTATTTTCTACTAGAGTCGTTGTCGTCGTCGTGTTTTAGAGGTTAATAAATCATCACTTATACCAGTCTTTGTGTTCTTACTTTCGCATCGTGGGAATTGCAGAGGTCCCTCTTTCCGAGTATAAGTGATAAGCGTTTTCAACATAACAATCAGCGACGATCAGACACAAAATGTAGCATTAGAAGAGCCAAGACATACATAAGTGAAAGTGAAAGCACACTGGAAACATAAAAGTGAACTTTTCTCTGAATCAGTACCAATGAGTGTTCAATGTTCTATTTAAGAAATATATCACAAATAGTATATTGAAGCAAAGATGAAACGAATGACATACTTAATAAATAACACTCTACATCTATTGTGACTTGAACATAAAATGGTTATTACTGCTAATAATATAGGTGTTTGTGATGACAGCGAAGTAATCGCTACTAGCTACTTGTCATAATGAAACAAAACTACTATGCCGACTCAAGGAAGAGAATGAGACTGTAGAAGCAGACTGGTTTATTTGTCAGTCAACCATACACATTTTAGAACCTGGGACAAATATGCATCTGTTCAGGTTACCACACTCCATTAGTTCGACGAGATGCAATTGTCAGATCAAATCCCAGAGTAATAAAAATAATAACAGTATTATTAGTAAAAGAAGAGATTGGACATAGAGATTAGGATTCGAGAACTGAAAAATTAGTGAAATAAAAAATACACATCAGGGATTCAGAGAGTAAGAATCTAAGAGAAGATGCGAATTAAATACATCTGGGTAATTGTGAACAATCCCGAACCATTTCATCTTAAGTTCCTAGCTATTGGTTATGATAATCAGGTACACCCCAACCAGGTAGTCTACACCTGTTTACATGGCTCGATACAAAAGTCATGGTCTTCGTGAACTGATGTCACATCTTCATTTGGTTGACTCTAGCTTTCTTCTAACCAACTACCACATCAGTCATCGTAGCGCGTGCGTCCAAAACCTAGTACTCTGTTTCTCACTTCAGAATCGCTGACTCGACAGTTACAAGAAACATGAGCAGTACTTGGAAGAAACCTATGATCGAATACCAGTAATCTACGAACATCCGTCACTCATGATGATCACGTTTCACACCTATGAAGTAGAACTGAGCAAACTGCTGCACAGTAAACTCGTCGTTTGGTTAGAATACGTATATCTCGCCTATGTCACAAGCGACACAATTTGGCAAAAACCTTCTGAATTGGTACCGAGATTTGGTCAAGTACCGACTCACTAAGTCTGGTGGGACTTCCTAGATAAGTGGAGTTATCAACACGTTCATCTACCAAACTGCTTATCATTATTTCAGATGTGGAAGTATACCAGTCTTGATACAACATTTTACATTTCGAGGTAAAGAATTGCATCTCAAACATGTTTGCATTTTTGCTTGATGTGGTCAGAAGTCTCTAAATTTTATTAAGTCTTCACCACACAGGACCATATTATCTCTGAACTCTAAGTAACTAAACAAAAATTAATCTGATACAAAAAATATTCATGAAATAGGTATACTCGTTTAAATGTTCAATCAGTAAATAAATCTGAATATGATAATAGAGCAGTAATCGACATTAATAAGTCAATATAATTTACAAAATTGATAAATTAATTGTTTAACCAGAGCAATATAATTCATCACTGAAACTATACATTTGTTCTCTTCTCAACAGAATTAAAATATAATCTCACATTTTATCGAATCTTAACCAATTTCCTTCATATTTCATTGTCCTTCACAGGCAACAATATCTAATTGTTAGGTGATCGAAACAGCTGATAAAACATTTTGAACCATTGAATAATTGATGTTTTTACTTTGTTTAAAACTCGTATCACAGCTTATGTAAACTGAAAACTTATAATTTGTAAAAACATTCTAATAAAATGATCAGAAACTTGAATCAATTGTCTAGACTTCCTCAACTAATACACTCAAGTTTATCACACTAACTTTACTAATGAATGGTCAGTTGCCTAGACTGTAATGAATTTAATATTGTTCAATTACTTAGTTTTGTAATTATATAGTTGGTAAAATGAACGTAGATGAAGACAACTAGAAGTGGACCCTAGTAATCACAAGGAGAGAAATAAAATTCTGAAATGCAAAATAATGAGCACCCACCAAATCATTCTTGACAGCAAAGATCTAGAACTGATGGACGCCTTTACTTAACTGGACAGCACAATTGGTAAAGATGGTGCATCTGATGCACAATGAAGGCATAAAGCGGTAAAGCAAAAACAGAATTCAGAATGCAGAAGCTGCTGCTAAACTAGTTATCTTCATATGCATTTGTTCGTATGTATGGGACAGGAGGGCCATTTCATATGCGAAGTCGAAATCTCCTAATCGATTCCGAGTTGTCCATTATATTCCGCGCTCCCACCCAGATGTCAAGATCTTCATATTACAGTCGATCACCAAAAGAAAGAGGAAGAGTGAGCAGCCTTATCTGACTCCCTTCCTCACTTGAAATGCGTCTGTCAGTTGTCCTCCATGCGCCACCGTGCAATATAGTCCGTCGTATGAATTCCGGACGATATTGAAGATCGTCTCAGCTACTCACTCCATAGAGTCTAATAAGGTCCCATAATGTCCTCCTATCCACATTGTCAAACATCGAATCCCAGAGTAATAAAAGTAATAACAGTATTATTAGTAAAAGAAGAGATTGAACATAGAGATTAGGATTCGAGAACTGAAAAATTAGTGAAATAAAAAATACACATCAGGGTTTCAGAAAGAAAGAATCTAAGACAAGATACGAATTAAATTGCCATAATGTCCTCCTAGAGATACAAGTGGAGTTAATTGTTGGATATGGTATAGGGAGATTATATGGGTTTCAGGAAAGCGTTTATAAGAATTCGAATGTGGTTGACAAGCTGTGATGCTCTCATGATTTACAGTTTAGTCATACTGAGTTCATCATTTTTACAGATGAACATGCATGTATTAATGTCACTGACACTCATAAACCTCTAACAACTCGAAGTCAACGAACGACACGACAAACGCATTTTATTCGAATGGCATGCTTTTAAATAAGTGAACGAGAAATCTCACTGTGCACTGGTAAAATGTGAAGTTCATACATTAAATACATCATTTACACACTTATTTAAGTTGTCTCTTACAAAATTCATCGTTCCTACATTCCTGTTGTTATTGTGATTACTTTCAGTTTTCTTCCCTCTTCTCTTCATTTCAATCTTCTTCTGGAAGGCACTTCACATCAGACTGCAGGTTTACACTGTGTATATCTGTCAGCATAATTAGCAATTCATGAGTTCAGTTTACCAGTATTATGTAATCACACATTGTTTCTTGAAAATCGTAACATGAATACTGTGGAGTGATTCTGTGATTGTGTGAATAAAGTAGGTGCATTTATCAGGAGCGACATGGAGATATGGGAGGAATCATCCACGGCGCTTATTTCTAATAAGATCTCTTTGTAACGTTGAAGAAGCAAGATATTATGTGGTTAGATTTATTGCCTTGTCTGAAATGTGGATGTGGCCATGTGGGTTACGCAGTGGCATAATCTCTAGAATTCCATCATATTCATCATATTTATCTGGAATTCAATATACTGAGAGGTGAGGGAGTAATTTGTCGAATCTGTTTTTGTTTTACTATTATGTAGGGAATGAGGCGTTGATAAGAAAACCAGAATATTTTAGCTTTTGTGACTGGATTTTCACTTCGATTACAAGTATATCCACTGACAACACTATCATATGATTTGGTTTGGCCAAATATAATTCTTTCCCCACTCTGTCTACTTTCTAACGAGTGGTGGGTCTCGTAACCAAGAAGATTGTGAAACATAATGCAATCTCAGACACGATATTTCACCACAAAATCATTGAAATTCTCTGCTTAGATTCATGTCGAATCAATGAAACTGTCTCTAAAATACGAGAAAGAGGGAACTGTGAAGAGAATAGAAACTCACCATTCAGTTGGAAAACACATAATTTCACACAAGAAATCAATGTGACAATTAGAAGTCAGAATGGTAGTAGAAGTAGAAGTAGTAGTAGTAGTAGTAGTAGTAGTAGTAGTAGTAGTAGTAGTAGTAGTAGTAGTAGTAGTAGTAGTAGTAGTAGTAGTAGTAGTAGTAGTAGTAGTAGTAGAAGTAGAAGTAGTAGTAGTAGTAGTAGTAGTAGTAGTAGTAGTAGTAGTAGTAGTAGTAGTAGTTGTTGTTGTTGTTGTTGTTGTTGTTGTTGTTGTTGTAATCACTGATGGATAATATTTATGACATAAACGAATAATTTTCTTACTGTTGTGTCCCATAAGATGAATACTGTTATTGTGAAGCATTCATTGTTATTCATTGAAATGTTAACACAGTGTTCATCAAGTGGAAATATCTTCAATGTTCAGAATTCAGATCAGTCAATTTGAGATACGGGAACATTCTGAAATCCATTTTAATAACATCACAACACACAAGATGAATCTGGTCTGTCATGCTGTTGAGTCTACTAAATAAGCTTGACATAGGTAAATCCACGGGGCCCGATGAATTACATCCTAGGCTACTGAAGGAATTATCTAACTTCGTTGCAAGCCCTCTAAGTACATGCTTTAACCTATCTGTTACGCAGGGTCGTTTACCAAAAGGCTGGAAAAACGCCATAGTAAGTCCTGTCTTCAAAACAGGTATGAAACACAAACCTAAGAATTACCGCACCGTTAGCCTTACTAGTGTGGTTGTTAAAATCTTAGAAAAGATTATTCGGAAGGAGCTGTTTAAGTATCTCGATAAAAACCGGATCCTCTCGGAGAAGCAGCACGGCTTCAGAATAGGTTATTCTTGTCTCACTAACTTATTAGTGGCTCGTGAAAGCTGGTGCGTTCTTAAGGACCATAAGCTACCTGTAGACGTAGCCTTCATTAATTTCATTAAAGCTTTTGACAAACTTCCGCACAACCGGCTGTTATATAAGTTAAGAAATGTCGGAATTGGAGGCAATCTATTGATGTGGACAAACGACTTCTTAGTTGGGCGTCAACAAAGAGTTCGGGTGAACTCAAAGTTATCTATCTGGGAAACTGTGCTTAGTGGAGTGCTTCAGGGTACAGTTATGGGGCCGGCGCTATTCCTCTTGTATGTAAATGTCCTTCCTCGTCTCCTATCATCATCGGTCTTGCTATATACTAACGACGTCAAGAAATGGAGAAAGATACTATGTACGGGTGATAGCTTAGAACTACAAAATGACCTGAAGAAGTTATCTGAATGGTCTCAAACATGGCAGTTGCCGATAATACTTCCAAGTGTGTTGTGATGCATATCGGTCATCAAGGCACAGATACATACACGATGAATAACACTGAGCTACCTGTCGTCCAGACATATAATGACTTAGGAGTCATCGTTAGCCAAGACTTAAAGACCACTGCACACTCTCGTGCAATAGCCGCCAAAGGTTTTAGAACCTTAGGGCCAATACGTAGGGCTATTAGTCATGTCGACGTTAAGAAGTTTTTGACTTTCTATACAGTGTTCGTACGTCCTAAACTTGAGTACAGCATACAAGCGGCCAGCCCCTGCTTAAAAAAAGACAGTGAGCTTCTGGAAAAGGTTCAGAGAACGGCGACTAAGCTGATTCCCGGATTAGCGAAGCTTCCGTATGAATCTCGACTGGCCAAGCTGAACATTTTCCCGTTGTCATATCGAAGAACTAGAGGTGACTTGATTACAGTTTTAAAATTGCTTAGTGCCTAATTTGCAACTGATACGCCCTCATTTTTCTTGTCTTCCAAAACAGTGAATTTACGAGGAAATTCCACTAAAGTTCATAAACCGAAAACAAATTAATTGTCAGCTGAATATCGACTTTCCCATCGAATCATCAACGAGTGGAATTCACTACATCAGCACGTGGTTGAGGCTCTAAGCATCGACTCTTTCAAAAGAAAGTTGGATCTACTGAGAGACCACCATTGCCCGGAATAACATAGGCCATCGAGCCTCCTCTCCTTTCCAAACTGAAACTGAAACGGAAACAAAATCAAATATTGTGCAAACAACTCAACATCTCACCACCATATTCTCAGTACTAACTAAATATGAGTAGTATGATGAATTGATGAACATTTTGTCAATGAATTGACGTCTAAGTACTTCCCTGATTCAATGTTAACAGAACGATCCATGGTCCTCCTACACTACAATTAAACAATACACTGTCTCGACAAACAACTGGAAACAGTTCATCTAACCATACAACGTCAAACCGAAACCAACATTGGAATTCATCTTACGAATCTGTCAAAAACGTGAATTTATCATAAAGTATTCTGAAATATTTATAATGATAATAATCTTATGTTTGATCATCAAATGTTTAGTATTTCACGTTGAATAAGTAACGATGTTATGAGTATGAAAATTGTATGTAAGTGTGACGCACAGTCTAGACGCATGTGGTACGTCCAGGAGGCTCACACTGTCAATGTAGGATGGGATACTAGAGATTATGCCACTGCGTAACCCACATGGCCACATCCACATATCATACAGGTTAATAAATCTAACCACAAAATATCTTGCTTCTTCAACGTTACAAAGAGATCTTATTAGAAATAAGCGCCGTGGATGATTAAACCATTTTAACTCTGTCCTCCAACTTCAAGAAACAATTATCAAGCCACATGATGAATACCGCGATTTGTCGGAAATCACGAGGCAGATGTCCCTTCTAATAACTACAGCAACAAGTAATATAGGTGCATGAAACTTCGAGATAATATGGGAGAGCTCAAGGGCCAACCAAATAGCAACAGATAAAAGGCGATACAACATAACAGTACTCAGAATAACTGAATAACATTGAACTCGAGTTGGACAGCGAATGATGCTGTATTATGGTCTAAAAGTGGAAAATGCTCCATACACTCAACGAATCGCTCTGGTGTTGTCCAAACAAACACGAAATGCACTCATTGAGCAGGAATCTCATGCACCCTAAATCATCAATGCATCCTTCAAAACACAGGAGGAGGCAATCATAATGAATGTTATCCAATGTTGTGCACTCAACAATGATAACAATGACGACGATAGAGATCAGTTCAACGAGAGGCTGCAATCGATCATAGTGAAGTGTCTATGGTAGTAGCTGATTATCCTGATGGGAGGGAGACCTAAACACCAATGTCGGAATGGACAACAACGGTTGTGGGGATATCATGGGACGATATGGGATGTGGAGTAGGAGAAAGGAACGAGAATTGTGACAAATTTGCAGATGTATGTGCATTGAACAAAGTGGTTGTAGGTGGCACAAGGCTAATGCGGTCTCACCTGACCACACCATGGATAACCAGATAGATCATATTTGTATCAGTAAGAATGTCAGGAGGGCAATGGAAGATGTGAGAACCAGGAGAGGAGCTGACATAGCTTCAGATCACCACCTGGTTGTGACCAAGATTGAAACTAAAGCCAAAGAAACACAGGACAACCGGACAACCGGACAGACAGTATTACAAATGTTTAATACAGCCTTCTTTCAACATACTAACAAACTCAAAGAATTCAAGATAACTCTCAACAACTCAGTGAGATGAAACTACTACGGAGGACATTTGGAAAGGTTCCATAGAAGCACTGACTTTTATGTAGCAGGAGTTTCTGGTCCTCAATAAGCACCATCTCTATGAACAGATCTCTATGGAAACCATGAAAAAGGGTCAAAAATGGAAGAACAAGATGACAGGTGTTAAAAACAATCGAACAAGAACGGAGAAAGTCAAGGAACAATCTGAATACACTGAAGCATACAAGCAAATGAAGAAAAGTACCAGAACCGACATGCAGAAATATATGGAAGAGCCATCAAAGACAGCAGAAAAAGCTGCACGAGAAGTAAATGTGAGGCAAACATATGTCACAACCAGGAAACTGGCAGAGAAATATAATAAATCAGAGAGACCGGTCAACGATAACGAAGACAAGGCAATCATCAAGATTCATGAACAGAGTAACGGATGGGTAGAACAATTCGAGGAACTCTTGAATTAACCAGTTCCACTGAATTCACCGAACATTGAAGCAGTACATACACACACATTTTCCTATTGATGTCACTCCACCAACGATGGAAGAAATCAGGATGGACATCAGACAAATGAAGAGTAGGAAAGATGCAGGACCTGACAATATACCAGCTGAAGCAATGAAGTCAGACATTGAAGTAGCTGCAAATATGGTCCACGTTCTATTCAGGAAGATTTGGGAGAAGGAAAAACTGTCGACAGACTGGAAAAAAGCACACTTCATCAAGATACCAAAGAAAGGAGATCTGAGCAAATGTGAGAACTATAGAGGAATTACACTATTGTCAGTGCCAGGAAACGTTTTCAACATGGTGTTGCTGAACCGGAAGAAGGACTCAGTAGACGCCCAACTTCGAGATCAAGAGGCCGTATTCTGTAAAGATTGGTCGTTCACAGACCAAATCGTGACACTACGAACCATCGTTGAGCAACCAGTTGGATGGAATTCGTCACTATACATCAACTTCATTGACTATGAGAAAACGTTTGACAATGTGGATAGGAGGACATTATGGGACCTTATTAGACTCTATGGAGTGAGTAGCTGAGACGATCTTCAATATCGTCCGGAATTCATACGACGGAGTATATTGCACGGTGGCGCATGGAGGACAACTGACAGACGCATTTCAAGTGAGGAAGGGAGTCAGATAAGGCTGCTTACTCTTCCTCTTTCTTTGGGTGATCGACTGTAATATGAAAATCTTGACATCTGGGTGGGAGCGCGGAATATAATGGACAACTCGGAATCGATTAGAAGATTTCGACTTCGCATATGAAATGGCCCTCCTGTCCCATACATACGAACAAATGCATATGAAGATAACTAGTTTAGCAGCAGCTTCTGCATTCTGAATTCTGTTTTTGCTTTACCGCTTTATGCCTTTATTGTGCATCAGATGCAACTTCTTTACCAATTGTGGTGAAATATCGTGTCTGAGATTGCATTATGTTTCACAATCTTCCTGGTTACGAGACCCACCACTCGTTAGAAAGTAGACAGAGTGGGGAAAGAATTATATTTGGCCAAACCAAATCATATGATAGTGTTGTCAGTGGATATACTTGTAATCGAAGTGAAAATCCAGTCACAAAAGCTAAAATATTCTGGTTTTCTTATCAACGCCTCATTCCCTACATAATAGTAAAACAAAAACAGATTCGACAAATTACTCCCTCACCTCTCAGTATATTGAATTCCAGATAAATATGATGAATATGATGGA